AAGATATATAAAAAGTATTTCTAATTATATATAAAGCTACAAGGTCATCATCCATATCAAAATAAATGTGATATTTCTTTGAATTAATTTCTATCAACTCATTATTAGGGATAATTTTGAACTAATACTTTGGAACCAGTCTAAGAGTTTAACTATAAGTCTCAATAGCTTCTTACACATTTTTCAGTATTTACCTATTTTTGTCTGTTTGAGACAGAATTTCATCATGCAGTTGAGGCTGATTTTGAACTCATTTTGTCACCCAGGCTGGCCTTCAGCTTACAGCAATCCTCCTGGCTCTGCCTCCTGAGTGCTATTTTTTCAGTACCTAAAGCAAATTATTTTGTCCTGTTGAATTTTTATGTAAAAAATAAATACAAATGAATACTATGCTGTTTTACTGTGTGGCTTGAAATTAGCAATATTCAAATCAAGTCATTCATTTAGCAAATATTTATTAACTATTCACTATGGACTACACAATGTCTACCTTATGTGGCATGCAAAAAAAGCAATGTGGAAAAATTCCTATATTATTAAGTTCATTTAAATGGAAAAACCAAACAAATAAATCACATAGGTAGCTCTCAGATGACACCAGGCACAGGCATAGAAATATTTTCCACCCATACTTTCTTTAATCTTCTGGAAGCTTACCAAGTAAAAACTAGAAAATTGATAATTTTCTAATCATTTAATATTTCCCACCTAATGTACTCAATAATTAAACTAAATCACATATATCACTTCATAATACTATACATGAAAAAGGGTGCATTCTCTTTCTTCCTTCGGGGCTGGGGATTTAGCTCAGCGGCATCAGCGCCTGCCTCGCAAGCAGGCAGTCGAGTTCAATCCCTAGTACCAATAAAAAAGGAAAAAGACAAAAAAAAAAAAAATACCAAAACTGTTTCTTCCTTCACCCAAATAGTATGCTGTGACAGTGTGAATTTACACATATGGTACAATTTTGATTCTGTTGGAAATTTCCCTTAAGTGAAAACCAGACGTTCCTTGCTAAATTGATCTCAATCCTATTTGACTCCCTAGGAGTAATTGCTATGAACTGCGTCATAACAAGTCCACCTAAAATACATACAACACCAAACAGCAAGGAGTAGAGGAAAGGAGAGAATAACTAGAGATTCTGTTGAGAATCTCTAGAGGAAGTGGGAGTAATGGCCTGACATGGGCTATTTACCAGGCAATAAACCAAGGTTAACCTTTCCTCCAAGTGCTCCAGTTCTGGGGAATGCCGTTGATCTATGACTATCTGCTGTATCCCGTGATAATGGTGATGATTATGACAGTAATAAAATACCCAGTGGCAAAAAACAACACGGCCCTAAATCAATACCTCACACAATGACCCTGTGAGCCAAAAGTTATACAAAGGCAAACAGAAATGAGCAAATCTCACTGTGTCTAATAATTTTATGTTTTGAACTCACTCTTCTCAACATGCTTGCACTGTCTTTCTTAAGTGAGCAAATATATATTTTAGACCAAAGCAAGATGACTCATTACCCACATTTCCTCAACTGATGTGACTCACGCTTGTTTACTCTAGGGACACAGAATGAAGACAGGTTTGATGTTGCTCACAAAACAGCTCATCTTCTGACAGCCCCTCAAGGGGGTCAATTAGATCCATCTGTGTGGAGAGCTGAGGTGAGGAGGAGATGCACGTTAGAAGGAAGACGGGCCCTCCTTTACTTCCTACAGGCAACGCGTGTTTGATGCTAGCTGCTCTGTTGTGAAAATTAAAAATTAAAAACAGGCTTCTCACAGGATTTCTATATGTGTGGCTTTTTTTGTTCCTCACACCAGGAGCATGACAACAGTTTTCTTGGAACTGAAACTGTGTTCCTTCACCAAGTAATATTTTCTACTTAGAAACTTTCCTATTTGTATCTGTGTTGACGGAGGAATGCACTAAAATTCTGCCTTATAATATTTCTGTTCATGTTTTGGCAACCATTGTGCTTTTATTTGTCTTGAAAATGGAAAACTAAGCATATGAAATTACATAATAAAATCTTTAAACATGTAGTTCCATTAGTTTACATAACTTTTCACTTATCGAACCTTGAGAACTTTCAGTGTTTATCTTTTATTTTTTTATTATGACATTCAATATTTTCTGAATAACTTTAAATTCATCAAAAGTACTATAATGCTACTCAGTGGGCATTTCCGATTTTCTGTGTGTTACCTGGGAATCATGCATATTTTAATAATGACAGGTAGACACACTACCTAAATCCAGTGAGTAAATTGGCCGTATTTGGATGAAAATGCAGGGGATGATCCAGCAATTGCTACTTTTATTTTTTCTGCTAAGAGAGATGGTCTTTTTTAGAGTTCTTTTCTGATCACAGAGATGACATAAGAAAGGAAAATATTTGCTATGGATCAAATGTCTGTATTTATCCAGAATGCGTACGTTTAAGTCTTATTCCTGGGAGTGTGGCGTCAGGGGCAGATAGAGATTTTGTGAAATGAAAGGATTAGGTCACGAGAGTGGTGTCTTCAAGCATGGGTCAGTGTCCCAGTGAGGAGGACCCTAGCCTTTATTAACCCTGCCTGTATTAACACAAGGAGAAAAAATTTAACCTCAGCAGACACTGGATCTGTTGCCATTTGGATCAGGGACTCTGTATTCTTTAGAATTGAAATATATAGGCAACGTTTATTGCTTAAGCCAGTCTTTTGGGGTACTTTGTTATAGCACCCTAAACTGGACCCCCCCAGATAAAAGCCTTACCAAGCAGTAGGAACACTGCTTGAATAATTATTTAAAAATGAATTAGAGCTGCATAATGGGTAAAGGCTAGTAGAATTCTGAATTTGTATAAACTTTAAGCATTCAGGGTGAATCTGGTTAAGGCTCACACAGAACAAAAAGAAAGATAGAAAGGATTCTTCCTTCCTGGAGAATAAATTCTCATGAACAGAATATTCAGAAAAAGGAAGATATAAGCCATTCTGAGGAATGCGGTCTATGTCATTGGAATCCAGAGGAAAACCAATCTTTGTTATCAAATGGCAAAGGTTCTCATAAGTAGTGTATATATTCTATTGTTTTGTGGAAGATAAAACTCTCAAGGGTGAAAATTCGATATTTATCTCATTTCTATAAACTAAATTTTGAAGAAGTAGCTGGGTTCTTTGTGAATTGCAATAACAAAATATGAGAGGAGAAATTTTAATTGAATATAAAAAGAAGTCAAACTTTAAAGCTGAAAATAACCTGTTTATAAAACCAAAAATGCGAAAACTCTTTTGAGAAGAAAGGAGTAATAGGCTGATTACTTGATAAGATGTACAAGTATGTAAACCGCAGTTTTCATCCACTATGTCAACAAAAGTAATGAGTAAAGATGGTGTCACAGTAGCCGACACAGTGCCAGGTGGGACTAAAGGAAATAGAGAGCTATTAAGTATGAAAGGAGACTTTCAGACTTCTTAAACCCTACAGGACCAGATCGATCATATCACTTGACACTATGTACTGTTCCTCAAGTAAAAGAACATTAAAAGTAACTCACCATCTCTGGGGCCAGGATGTAGCCACTTTCAATATTATTCCAAAGTGTGGGCCCAGCCCCTGGCAGTGACACGTGTGTGCAAGTTGCCTGGTGGAGCCCGGAAACTGTGATCTCCACACATCCACGTGGGCAGGGTGGGCCAGGTATGGGCACAGCACCACCCAGCGGTAGGGCGATGCCACAGATGGCAGCGTCTCTGCCTCAGTGAACATGAAGGCTCTGATCCAGGGGAAAATCATGCTTAAATGTTAGGGATTTATGGAGTTTGCCCTGATGGTTTGTTTGACTTGCATAAAACTCAGAACCAATTTTTTTTTTTTGTCCCTCTTGAAACAGGAATTCCTGCCTGCCCAATGCTTGTCACACCATTGTATTTTGGAAACAGAACTTGTTTTGTTTCATAGATTCACAGATGGAAAGACATTTTGCCACAGGTTGGATCTGCCATCCAGTCTCCTCTCTGCTTAGTACACCACACTTCAATGAAACTTTGGACTTCAGAGAGCAGTGTGGATGGTGGAATAAATTCATGATTTCAAGGTTGTAGACACGTAGATTACGAATTGCACAGGACAAGAGCATGGATCTCGGTGGGTCACTGCGGGATTTAGGACTCAAGATCTGCACTCCCCTCCCCAAATCATATCTTCGAATCCTCACTTCCATTATGATGGTATTGAGAGACTAGCCTTTTGGGGAGGTAATCAGGTCATGAGAGGATCCCCACCAAGAGTTTTGCTATAGAGAAAGCACAAGATCTTGGTTCTAGAAGACTCCGGGTTTAATGACTAACTTTTTTTACTTTATATTTGTCTTCTTTTTTTCATACAAGACAAAAGAAAAAAAAAAAAAGAAAACAAGTTGTGTAGGTTTCCTTTCATAAGGCTACTAGTCACTCATTTTCTTGGGTTTTCTTTTCTCCACATGTTTGAGAAATAAATGTTGCTGAAATCACACAGTCTACAGTATTCTAAGATAGCAACCCAAACTAAGACACTGCTCATGAAACTGGGGGGGGGGGGGGGATGGATTCAGATCAATGCAATAGGACAGACACGCAAGATTTCAAAATGCTTTCTACTATGTGAGATTACTGTACGAAGTCCTCCACTGCATTCACGATTCATTTTTTTTTCATTATTTTCTGCACATGACATAAAATGTTATCAAATATATCTATTTTTCTAAGTCAGTACAGACCTTTTCTTAATTGGTTCTTACTAAGACTCACATGTTTAGAGTTGTATGATTCAGAACAAATTTCATGCTCACCATTTGGTATCCCAATAATTGAAGCTGTGTGTAAATAAAATGCAACAAAGTACATGGGAATAAAATTCAAATATATTTTGGTATTAGTGTGTAAGTGAGGAAAAGGAGGGGAATTCCTGAATTATAAGGGAAAGAATGGGAGAGGGAAAATCAGAGGGAAGAGGTTGCAGCTCTCACCTGACCGCGCTGCTCCCCACGTCCAGGTCCTGCGCGGTCACCGCGCCGATGACGGTGCCCACCGGAGTGTCCTCGTACACCTCCATGGTGTACAGGGGCTTGCTGAACACGGGCGGCTCGTCCACGTCCAGCACGCTGATCTTCACCGTGGCCGTGTCCTTGAAAGGGCCCGCGGAGTGGAACCGGTGGTCCAGGTGGAGGTTGGAGGCCTCCACTTTGAAGGTGTAAGCCTTCTTGGTTTCAAAATCTAAAGGCTGCAGTGAGCACAAACAAAAGTGAGAAAGCGCGCGTGCACAGATGGGTGTGAAGTGCGCCACAGGTGACGGCTTTGCTGCCCAGCATTAGGCATCCGAGCATCACTGCAATGGCCTCACATTTTCCTGTCTTTTTCTCTTCCTAGGATACTGGGGATACTGAACCCCAGGGTCTCTGCACAGTTACATTCCACCGAATACCTACATTGTGGAGGAAGAGCTGGAACTTTTTTCTTTTTTCCACTGGGGATCGAACTCATGACCTCGCGCTTGCAAGGCAGGCGCTGTGCCTCTGAGCTATGTCCTCAGTCTGAGCGGGAACTTTCTATTATTCCCCCTCAGTCTCCTAACTTTTTCTTTTGTAGTTATTAAATGGTGAAAGCACAATGTAAATATTTTAATAAAAGAACCATGCACAAATAGGAAGCTATGGGTCGCTTTTATGGATACTCCGTGGCAGATATTAAAATAGAATAATACATGTATAGTGGATAGCGCTTTTTAACCTTATTTGTATGAGCAATAGGAAAGCAAGGAGAAACTAAAGAATTGCTGCTTTACTTTTATCCTGTACTGCCCTCTAGTGAAACTAAGAAATAACGACCAAAAGACCGAATAAAAAGAATTTGGATGATTGAAAATCTCATAAGATTCCCGTTGCAAATTCGGTATAACATACTATGGGATCTTTGTTTGTTTGGTTTTGTTGTTTAGGCAGGTTTTCTTGTTGTGACATTAATGCACTGTGTTGTTAAATACTTTAAATGCCAAGCTATTTTATTATAGAAGTTCTGAGGCAATATTTATAAACATATACAGTGGATAATGGTGAAAAAAACTTAGATTGCAGCATTTCTAGAACTATACATAAAATTAGTGGGATTGTACTGTATTTACAGGATGCTTTTAATTTCCATCAAGACATAGATTTAAACCTTAGTAATCAAATTAAAGAAAGCTATGGAATGTAATGCATGAAGTCACCTGCCTTATAATCACTGATGCTCACTTTTAGTTTACCATTACTGTAAATACTGTTATTTCTTCCTATAATTGAAAATAATATATTCCAAAATATGTTACAGTTTTGCTTTAAAGTGATACATCAAATTCCTGTGGCTCTGATTTGTAATTGCCAAAGAAAAACTAAGGCAATATAAATGCAAATTAACATGATGATCTTGTTACTCTTAAAAGTTTCTTTTCTCTAAAATAATTCCCTCTGGTGTGTCTCTAGTGATTTGATAATTGTTATGTCTACATCTGTTCTTTTACACAACATGCTATGTATGTAAACGAAAGGAGATTTTTTTTTTCTGTTTTAAATATATGAACCCTGATTTATGTATTTCTTCTGAGGAAGTTATAAGGGAAAAAAATCACTGTGAAATACTCAACTGTCACAGTTCAGTAGCATCTACTGCTCCCAAATTTGTAAAATATATTTGTGAATGACATCAAGTTTATTTCATAACAATTGTTAAAGGTGTGATGTTTATTTTGACTTTATGATTGTATTTTACCTGATTTATTCTATTTTTTCATGTCTCTGTAGTCATTTTTTGATTAAACTTATTTATCACGTACTGCTAACCTATAATGTTGATTTCTTTCAATTTCTTGTCAAAATTATGATTTCTCTTAAAACCCATAGAAATAAAAATTGAGACACCTAATTCTACTGTTGATAATCTAGCCTTCGGTGGCAAAATAAAAATGCATTATCTAACAAACGGAGAGTTTGGAGTCCCATAACCCTCTTTTGAGTGTCTAAAATTTACCTCCTGTAGTTTGTTAAAAAACACCAGGCTTGAGAAAAGACAGCCTCTTGAATATATGCCTGAAAGTATTAAAAACATCACAGTACAGTGATATACACATAGTTGCATTTATAACAGCACGAGTCACAGTAGACAAACTGTGGAAATATCCTACATGCCTATCTACACACAGATGAATGAACTTCTTTTAATGTGCTATGCACACATCATGAAATATTATTTAGTCAAAGAGGAGAGTGAAATCATGTCATGGTAGAACCTGAGAAAAAACTAAGTAACTCAGACATCGGTGGTTAAAAAACACACGAGTTTTCTTATATTAGAAACTTAAAATATAAATATCTATGTGAATGAAATACAGGATAGATGTTAGGAAAAAAAAGAGGGCAAACTCTTGGCTATGTAGAAGTTCAAGGAGGGACAGATAAAGCAAAATGTGGTAAAGAGATTGAACATAATGAAAATGTTTTATGAGTTGCCAGCTCCAAAATGAAACCAGGATTGAAAATGTCTGTTCAAACTGAGGATTCAGTATTGCAAACATGTGCTAACACAGAAAAGAAAAAAAAGCACCCAATTGCCAGAAGAAGATGGGAAAATTTTATTAAAAAGAAGGAGCGGATGCAATTGGAATGTTTAGTTTCCAATAAAGAATATCACAGCAAATTACGACAAACACTTTCATAAGTTAGGTTTAGTTTCTATGCCTCTGAGTGGTGAACTGAGAATAATAATATTTGAAAACAGTACTGTAGATAAAGAAATGACTAAGAAAAAAGTAATTCAGCATATAATTAATTAAAATATTATGGAAGTTTTCTTTAAAAAAAACATATGGTGGCAAAATCAGAGATGCATCCTAGGAGAACAACAAAAGATGTAAGGATGAATGATAAGGTTGCTTTCTTTTGACAACCAACAAATTAGAGAATAGTGGCATCTTGTCTAATGAATGTACCTGGAGAAGTAATAGCTTTCTAATAAAAACTTAGGACATGTCACAGAGAGAGAAAACTATCTGATGGAGAGTGCACTACCTAATTCAGATTAAAGAGCATGTAAAACTGTATTAAGTGAAGTAAATGAGACAAACTTTTATATTGCATGATTTCTCTCACATGGGAAATGCAAAAAATATAAATGACTTAAAAAGCTAAATGAAAAGTAACAGGAAACAAGGGAATGGGACAAAGAGATAGAGAGATGAAAAAGGGAGAGGAAGGGAAAAGTTAGAAGAAGATGTGTGACGTGCGAGGATCCACTCCCTATGGTGAAGGCAGTCGTACATGCTGCAAATGTGTACTAAACATTAAAATGTAAAACAACTGTACTTTCTATGTCTTATAAATCTAAACACTTGATAACTTGTAAGCAATATGATGTTTCTATGTTAGTCTTTCCAAATTCCACTATAAAACTCATTTGATTTTATCAACGTCGTTGTCCTTCAGCCCAGATCAAACCTGGTCTCCTTTGACTGGACTCATATGTGAACTTAGATTGAGGATATTGGTTCTGATTGTTCCTCTTGCCTTTCTCAGCTCTCTCCTTGAAACTGAAAGATCTCTCATTACCTGGATAAGTACACAAATTTCTTTCACATGAGATGTTCATCTATGTTCTCATTTGATATTACATATGTGGATAAATGTGATTTCTTAATGGTAAGTTCAAGCTCAAAATGAGAGCATTCTGATTTTTTTAAGAAACACAGGAATAATCTAGACCTCTAATAATTATTGACCTATCACAGCAGGTGAAAATTTGATGGTCAGTGAAGGAGAGAGATGAAAGCATCTTTTTGTACATACAAATATTTTGGAACTGAAAACATATCCCACAGTGATCAAAGAACTGTAATATCCTAGGTCTACTTACATTTTTTGTCTCTGACCTTAGGCAATCTCTTATTACAAAATAGAAGAGCAAGGGGAACTGATAATCATCACTCCCTCCTTCACTGTATCCATTCATCTGACTGACTACTTTCATTCGTAATCAATGAAAAATCTGAGCATTGAGATAAGTATAGGCCAACCAATATCTGTTTGTAATTGTAAGACAATGAATTAAATTCTGTGATAATGTTATATTATGAGATCAAAATAATTTACTTAAATTTATTTTTAATAAATTAGATAGATTTGTGACATTACTTAGAGCTCAGAAATTTATGAACCTTTCCAGAAGGATAAGAGAGAGAGGGAGAGAGAGAGAGAGAGAGAGAGAGAGAGAGAGAGAGAGAGAGACAGAGAGAGAGACAGAGAGAGAGACAGAGAGAGACAGAGAGAGACAGAGAGACAGAGACAGAGAGACAGAGAGAGAGAGAGAGAAAAGAAAGCAAGAAAGCAGAAAAGAAAGGCATGCTTGGTTCAGCAGCTCCTGGTTCTTTTGCTTGTATCTATCACAGAAGATTAGTGAGGTCAAAATTTTCAGGAGTCAATTGACATGTAAGGAGCTATGCAGGAAGAGACCAAACTATGACAACTATGAATTGTTATGTGGCATATAAAGAATCAACTGGGAAAGCTATAACCTTTTTCATGACTTTTTTTTTTGCTCCTGCATCTGCTGTTATTTTTCTCAAGTTCACCTCACAAAAGGTAAACCCTTGTGTGTAGCAGTGCACCCCTGTAATCCAGTGCTCTTGGAGGTGGGTTCCTAGCTGAAGCCCAGCCTGGGAAATTTAGTAATTTAGCAAAATTCAGTCTCAACAAATAAACAAACAAATGTAACAGTAACAAAACTTAAAAAGTTCTGAGGATATACTCACAGGGAAGGAGCTGGATTTCATCCTCAGTACCATAAACCAAAAAAGCAAAATAACATCATCAAAAAGTCTGTAGAGTGTTTTGTGCCAAATGGTTTTCTCCTTCCCCGGAGGGATAAAACGTTTTTAACATGTGCTATGGGAGAAAAACTCCGTTACCTCTTGCACACCTCACAGGGATTCCACACAATGTCTAGTGAAAATGAATGGCTACGGTTGTAGTTATGTTGAGGGATTTAAAAAACAATGTCTAGTGAAGGCAGAGTTCAGAGCTCACTCTGTCTTACTTTGCTTTTTTCGTGAATGATGCTCCACCTCTTGCGGGAAACACCTCTACCCTTAACTGTGGGAGAGACTTGGTCACTTAACAGCATATCACCTTCAACTTGCTGAGTTCAGTGGAAGCATAAATTATGTAGATGTAATTAGAGCCTTCATAAGTTGACACT